GCCGGGTTGACCAGCGATAAGATAACTGTTGATGGATTAAATCTAACATTCGACTTGATAGCTATAGTCGGTTCCAATTTCGAAACTGACTCACGTCTAGTGGCAGACGTAAATGTATCTAATTCTGGGTAAAATCCATTCTGTCTGAATAAAATCGTACCGAAAATGGTCTTATCATTGCTTTAGGCAGAATTATGCAAAATTTGTATATTACTCAGGGAGCGGAATTCCCCAAATGGGATGAGTATTTAAGAACCCCCCAGGCAGACTCGATAAACTCCATTTATTTATGAATTGGTACTTATTTTTATATTTCTTGTACTATTCACTTTTTAAATAAATGTTGTGTTTTTGATTAGCAAATCTTATTTTCGCTTAGGAAACTATTTTTTTTGCCAGCTGTGGCATTAACCTGGAGTATAAGGCTATACTCCAGTTATAAAGTGATTTATTAGTCAATTGAATATTCATATTTATCTTTATTTCAGGCCCAGCCCAATGGCTGTGAGCGAGCCTTTGTCCAGCGGAACAAGATCAAGTGGTTCTGGGCACCAGCCTTCTTTGGGTTCTGGCTGCTTCTCTACGTGGCCATTTCGATCCCCGCCTGCCATCGCCTGCCCCGACCACTAACCATCCAGGATGAGGCCAAGCACCCCGACCAGTTCATCGCCGAGCGGGCGGAGAACAATCTTCGCGAGCTGGTGAGTCTGGGACCCCGAGTGGTGGGCAGCAGGCAGAACGAGATGGCCGCCCTGAAGATGCTGTCGCAAAAGATGCAGAAAATTCGCTCAGGTTCGGCCAACGACATTGAAGTCGATGTCCAGGTGGCCTCCGGGAGCTATGTGCATTGGTCGATGGTCAACATGTACCAGAGCATCCAGAATATTGTGGTTAAGATCAGCCCAAAGGGCACCAACAGCACCACTTACCTTTTGGTAAACAGTCACTACGATTCGGTGCCGGCGGGACCTGGTGCCGGCGATGATGGTTCCATGGTGGCCACCATGATGGAGGTACTGCGGGTGCTGGCCAAGTCCGACAAGCCCCTGAAGAACCCTGTGGTATTCCTGTTCAACGGAGCCGAGGAAAATCCCCTGCAGGCCTCGCATGCCTTCATCACCCAGCACAAGTGGGCCAAGTACTGCAAGTAGGTCAAGGGAGCTTATTTCTTCTTATTTGCTAGGAAACTCCAAATATTTCTTCTACTTTTAAGGGCTCTTATCAACCTGGATTCCTGTGGAAACGGCGGTCGGGAGATCCTCTTCCAATCGGGTCCCAATCACCCCTGGCTGATGAAGAACTACAGGCGTGCCATCAAGCACCCGTATGCTTCCACCATGGGCGAGGAGCTGTTCCAGCATAACTTCATTCCCTCTGACACGGACTTCCGTATCTTCCGTGACCACGGATCGGTTCCCGGCTTGGATATGGCCTACACCTACAACGGGTTTGTCTACCACACGCGGCACGACAGGGCAGAGATCTTTCCCAGGGGAAGTTTCCAGCACACTGGTGACAATCTGCTGGCTTTGGTTCGACAGATTGCTAACAGTCCGGAGATAGAGGATTCCTCGGTAAGATTGGTTTGAATCGAAATCAAAAGATCGAGTAATTAATGGTTTCTTCTTTAGAAATACGCCGAGGGCCACACCATCTATTTTGATGTTATGGGCTGGTTCCTGGTTTTCTACACCGAAACCGAGGGCATTATTTTGAACGTTATTGTGGCTTTGGCAGCCATCGGTATTTGTGGTTTCGCCTTTAAGTTAATGGCGGTTGGCTCGGGCATAAAGCTGGAGAAGATCCTCACACGGGTCTTGCACACCCTTCTTGTTCAGATTCTATCCGTTGTCGTGGGAGCTGTGCTGCCCATTCTTCTCGGGCTTTTCATGGACGCGGTGCATTTGCCTCTGTCGTGGTTCTCAAACTCCTGGCTCATCCTGGGCCTCTACTTTACCACATTCTTCTTTGGTTTAGCTATTGTGCCCGCTTTGTACTTCCACTATACCAAGGATGTAAGTATTTACTGATCAGTATTTTAACAATACTAAATAAGGGTATTTCCGCAGGATAAACTACCCATTGGCCAGCGGATTCAGCTCTTGCTGCACTGCCACTGCGTGCTATTGGCCATCCTTACCCTGATCTTTACCATCTGCGGAATTCGCTCTGTTTTTGTCCTGATGCTCAGTTGCTTGTTCTATACGGTGGGTCTTATCATCAATATTGCCACCAAACTGCACAGCAAGGGTAAGTTATAGCTAGCAATCTTTAGAAATATATTTTATAACAAGTTTCTTTCTGAAAGATGTGGCCTGGGTCATTCCGCACATTGTCTGCACTGTTCCGCCGTTTGTATTCTTCGCCTATTTCTCGCATGGGTTCTTTACCACCTTTATTCCCATGTTCGGTCGGTTTGGTGAAAACCTTAACCCTGATCTGGCGGTGGCTGTTTTCAGTGTTGCTGTCGGCTTCCTGTGCTGTGGCTTCATTATTCCCGTTCTGCAGCTCTTCAACAAATCAAAGACTATTATTTGCGGTCTGATGGGCATTACCTTATTATGCTTCATTATTGCAATGACTCCAGTGGGATTCCCCTATCGTCCGGAAACAAATGTCCAGCGATTTGCAGTGCTGGTGAGTACTTACACAGTTATTTTGGAAGCAGTTGATGTAAAAGGGTGTATTTTTCTTTATTAGCACACCAAACGTACCTTCCACGACGCCGAAAACCATGTGCGTCGTCAGGAATCTGGTTACTTTATTATGCCCCAGGACAGACGCACCTACACGGTTAAAAGTAAGTTATATTGCACTTTAATTTAGAGTTTTATTTATGGATATTCTTTCCTTCAGATGCGGTTATCAACATGACGCTGGCCCAACGAATCGGTTCTGATTGCGAGAAGGAAATCAACTGCGGATTGCCCCTGTACAATCAGCGTTGGCACAAGACGAGGTCAGATAACTATTGAAAATTGAAAATCTTCCTTTGCTGAACTTGGAAAACCGAATTTTTACAGAAAGAACAGCCTGTGGATACCTGCTTCGGAGCCAGTCCTTGGCGAAGATGTGCCCACTGTTATAGTACTTTCGAAGAAGCAGCTGTCATCCACCAAAATTCGTTACGAAATGCAGCTAAGTGGACCTAATCACATGGCGCTCTTTATTCAGCCCTTGAATGGAGCAAAGGTGAAGGATTGGTCCTTCCATCAAGTAAGTATTTAACCTATTTTACTTTGACAGTTCCATGTTAATAACTTAATAATTACAGGCTCCTTTACGTCTGAACTTTGAGCCACCATACTTTATCTACTTCTCCTGGGGCGTCAATGGAGATCCTCTCAAGTTCTGGCTTGAGCTGGAGGTAAGTTATTGCTAAGGCCAAACGATTACAAACTAATGGATACATTTCATGTCTGTTAGAAACCCAATGGAAACTGGAATTCAACCACTCTTGAGCTGGGACTCGGAGGCCATTGGACCCATCACAAGGACTTAATCACACCGGACTTCAAAAAGTTCCTAGACAGTTTCCCCAAATATGTGGATGCCACTCCCTGGCCAGCATCATTTGAAAGCCGGATCTATTAGAGAGGCTATATGTAGATTTTTTATACCTAAGTAAAATAAACGCTTACATTTTGAGAAGTTTTTTGCGAACTTTGAGATATGAACAAACGTTATGATTGATTGCCGTTATCTAAACCTATTCACCTTAATTGGGCTGTTAATTTATCAATAGCTATTTATAATTAATCCCTCAAACTGTGACGGCCAATTTCAAAGAGTTCCGATTATAAAAGTCTATCACGTCAAAAGTTGCGTAAATCGTATACGTAGAATGTATTTATACATTGTGTTGGAATGTAAAATGTAGAATGACCTCCTAACTGAAAAACGTCGAAACTTTTTACCAAAAAGAGTATGTCTACTTTCGGTGTCCGTAGAATAGATTACCTAAATTCGTATTAACTGGAATTTTACGACTTTGTCGGGTTATAATCTGCTGTAGATTTATAATTTATAGTACTGAGTTTAAACACCTTGTGCCTGCCAAAAAAAGCAGCAATAACACCAGAAGTTCCCCAAAAGAGAGAAATTTCACAGTGTCCATTCACCAAGAGTGTGATGCAGACTGATTCGACGGGAGATTGTTAGATTACCATTTGATAATTTAATGTGTACTAGTGCTTATCAGCGTGAATAGTCAAACAATGTCGATGATAATCTATGAAGTGGATTTAAATTTAATAAACGTGGGAGCCAACTTATTTTGGCTACTGATCTTCATAGTAGTAAATTGTATACTTTGGCTATAATAGTCATCCTGTTAAGACATTTTTATAAGTACAAAAAACAAACTTATATAGAGTCTACATGGAAAAAGACATTGTTAACTCACCAACAAAGTTTAATATACAGTGTGAACTTTATACACCATAAATTAAAAATTGTGGGTTTTTGGGGTTTACCACCTAGTGTTTTAATTCATGAATTTCCAAGTCATTACGCTCTTTTGTCTTTGTTGATACTATTATCCTACTTTAGCTGAATATTTTATGGAAATATAACCCGATTAAGCCTTAAGATTAAATGAGTCCGAAATCTACTTCATTTATAGGGTTTTCAGCCCTTATCTGACTTACACGTTTAGGATTTATGTAGACCGATAAGAAGGTCGTCCCAAATTACCAAGTAACTTATCTTAATTATACTTATGTAGATTTTTTTAGATTTTGGACCCCACCGAAAGATCTATGCCGAACGAGCTTCCTAATCGCGTTAACAACTTAACAACCTATAAAAGGTTATAAAGAGAAACAGCTTCTGGTATCGCCTATCGCAGGATGTAATCGTTTTATGCGCAAGAATCGACGATTATAATCATAATATTTAATTATTATCGCTGCCATGGGGGCGATAAGCGATCCACGGCGCCGAACCTGGCCCTACTTAATTCTTGCGAACTGGCTCGAGGCGTCTTAGTTGCCCAACGGCTGGGCTCTGGTGCGGTTGTATTTCATCGTTTTTGATTCAGGTCCGAGTCGCGTGCGATCAGAAGGTTAGTGCCTCACCATAATTCACCGTGTTCCGCTGATTACGATCTCAGAGTGTCCTCAGTGTGGTAGTACCGCGATTGTTGTCCGGTTCTTTGAAATATAAGGCTAGCTGTCGAAAAAGTGAAAGGCACGTCTGGCGATAAGCCCGCGGCTCAGTTTAAGAACTTAAATCAAGGGATCGCTGGACAGTGTTATGTTAGTGTTATTTTCAGCAAAGAAAACCCTTGTTTTCTTCGCTCTCTTCGAGTATCCATAGGCGATAAGGAACTTTATATCGGCCATATAATGAGACCCAGCTTTGTTATCGATTGCTGTTTTTAGACCACGTTCTCGTTGCCTTAAAGGCTTTATAAAGGCCATAAAGCTAAGTGCTCTCTAGGGTGCTAATTGCTTTACGACCTTTCTAAACTCTCCAATGGAATTTGTTTATCTATTCTGAAATGTTTATTGCTATTTATGACTTCAATTTGATCGAAAGACTGTTTTTTCGAAACCATTTTAAAATGATCTCTGATCTTAGATCAACGAGGTAAAAAAAACAGGGACGAAGGTGCGCTTCAACATACAAAAGTTCTGATATCAACATTTGTGACGAAAAACTGACAAACAAAATTAAGTTTTCATTTTGGGAAGAAGAATAAAACCTTCTTTTAAGTATAACTTTTAAAAGGAGCTCATGCTTAGTAAAAATGCAACTAGACTAGTAAATTCAATGACATTGAGAGGACACCGGCCCCAAAAGCTCAAGTTTTTTAAATGTTCACTTTCACCGCTCTCTCTCCCAAACCTTTTGAAATTGATTAGCTCTTGGTATGCAATCCTGTTTTTGCGATACCTTTCGACCATCACATCGCTTCGTCACTACGTGGTCTGCCGTCCACAGTGATCACAGGTTTAAGAGGGTGCAATATGTGAATATCGTAAAGAGTAATATAATATTGGAGAATTGTTGGAGAATTGTGGAGAATTGTGGAGAATTGTTTTTTTTTTCAGCCCAAAAGTATCCATTTTTTTTAGTTTTGCGGCGATGGAGGTTTGGGGCTGCGCTAGAGTGTAGACTTTCCCCTTCAAAATATTTATAGAGTCATAAATATTTAACGTCCTGATAATGATCAAAATAATTTATATAACTAGAATCTCGAACATATCATTAACTCTTTAATTAATTTAACTCCTCTAATTGGAACGCACGAAAATGTGCTGCAAAGATTATACTTTAAGATACGGTTCAGAAATAATGAATTATGAAGGACTTTTAGTATCTTCTAAAACTTATACCTAAACGAACTTGTTTTCCAGATGTCATTCTCAATCCTTGACATCACAGCCGAGAAGGATGGCGGCAAGTCCAGGGACAAAAAGTGGCCTTGGTTCGGAGCTCCCATCTATGCGGCTGCCGCCTTCGCCCTCTTCTACGCCGCCGTACTGCCCAGTTTCCACAGCTATCCAAAGATGCTGTACCAAAGCGATGAGGCACTGCATCCGGACGAGTTCATCGGCGAGCGGGCGATGCGACAATTGGCCGAGTACTCGGCAATTGGCAACAAAATGAGTGGCTCCATTAACAACGAGGTGCACACGGTGAATTTCCTGCTGCGAGAGATCCAGAAAGTCAAGGACGAAGCGCGCACGGATCTTTACGATATTGAGGTGGACACGCAGTACTCTTCTGGCGGCTTCCATCTGTGGGGCATGACTATTACCTACACCAATCTCTCGAATGTGGTGGTGAAAATATCCCAGAAGAGTTCGAGCAACGATAACTACCTGCTGGTGAACTCCCATTACGATTCAGAGGTCCAAACCCCGGCCGCTGGAGATGATGGCGTTATGGTGGTGGTCATGCTCGAAACCCTGCGCGTTATCTCGCGCTCCGAAAAACCCCTCATCCATCCCGTAGTCTTCCTGTTCAACGGAGCGGAAGAGGCCTGCATGCTCGGCTCACATGGATTTATCACACAGCACAAATGGGCCAAGAACTGCAAGTAAGTGGATAAGAAATATTCCTTAAGGTATTCTAAACGATAAAAAAAAAGTAAAATATAAGAGAATAATATTAAAGCTATCTTAAAATCTTTAGATCAATTAGAAAATGTCGTGTGTAAATTTCTGGTGATGCAAAACCCATATCGTTTTTACATAATATACTCATTTCGAGCATATAAAAGTTAAAATATCAAGTTGAAATTGATATTACATAATGTAAAATCTATCTACGTTTCATATCGATTTTTTTTTGGGTGAAGCTAAAAATAACTTTTTCTAGTTAAAGTAAAAAATCCCCGATAACCCATTAAATGAACCATCTTCTCCTTATACTATTTTAGAGCCTTGGTGAACCTGGACTCCACTGGCGCCGGTGGACGCGAGGTGCTCTTCCAGACGGGTCCCAATCACCCGTGGCTGGCCAAATACTATCAGGCCAGTGTGCCACACCCATATGCCCAGACCCTGGCCGAGGAGCTGTTCCAGAATAACTTTATACCCTCCGATACGGACTTTCGCGTTTTCCGTGATTACGGCGGAGTTCCCGGTCTGGACATGGCCAGCGTGATGAACGGCTATGTGTACCACACCGAGTTCGATAACTTCCGGAACGTGGAACGTGGCACCTACCAGTCGACCGGCGAGAACGTGTTGCCCCTGATCTGGGCTCTGGCCAATGCTCCCGAGCTGGATAATACCACGGCCCATGAAAAGGGTCACACGGTGTACTATGACTTCCTGGGCTGGTTCATGATGACCTACACGGAATCCACGAGCCTGGCCATTAACATTGTGGTTTCAGTCGCGGCCTTCGTTTGCATTGGCACCTCGCTTTACATCATGACCCTGGACAATGGAGCCGATGCTCCGAAGGCGGTGATATTGCGATTTGGCATCATCTTCCTCGTTCAGGCGGGAACTTTGTTCGTCGCCTGTGGCCTGACCCTCCTGGTGGCCGTTTTCATGCAGGGCGTCGGTCTAGCTGAATCCTGGTACTATGGCAAATGGATGGCCTTCGGCCTGTACTTCTGCACCCTGTTCTTTGTCTTTGGCCTTCTTCCGGCGATTTATATTGGGCTGACGAAGAGGAAGACCAACATGAAACTGGATCAGACCATCGCCTGCTTCATGCACGCCCAGTGCATCCTGCTGGCCCTGCTCTGCATCATCATGACCAGCATGGGCATTCGCTCCAGCTACTTCCCCATGGTCGGCATCTTCTTCTACGCCATTTCCGTCCTGCTGCAAATCGTCCTAAAGCTTACGTTGAAGAGTGGGTTTTTAACGAGTTAATTTACTTTTTGTGTTATTTAATATTTTTTTCCCTTAGAGAGCTACTTTGTGACGGTTCACCTGTTGTGCCAGGTTCTACCCTTCTTCTTCTACACCTATATCTGCTACGCAACGCTCCTGACCTTTGTTCCCATGGAGGGTCGCGATGGACCAGAAAGCAGCCCCGATATAATGGTTGCTGTTTTCATCATTGCAACCGCAATTAACTACGCTGGCTTTGTCGTAAGTTTACCTAGGAAAACACCTGAAGTAGAAGTTACTTCAAGCATATCCCTTTGCAGATTCCCATCATGCACAAGTTCCGCAAGCCCAAGATTATATTCTCTTCGTTTGGTGTGATCACTATTGTATTTATTATCATGGCTTGTACCTCCGCCGGTTTTCCTTTTGTGAAGGAAGTGGCCCCTCAGCGTTATTATGTGCTGGTATGTTCGATACTTAAAATAATTTTGGGGAAATTATCCTGAAATGTACTTTTATTTTTCAGCACACTCAGCGAACCTTCCACAACTTGGATGGCACTAACAAGCAGGACTCTGGCTACTATATCCAGCCTGTGGACACCCGTCTCCACGAACTGGATGATACCACTTTCAAGAACGCCGAACCGGAAAGTTGGACGGCAGCCACCTGTGCCGCGGAACCATTCTGTGGCCTTCCTCTGTACAGTGGGCGCTGGATAGATTGGAAGTGAGTTGGTGATCATACATAGACCAAACTTACTTTGTATTTAACCCCATCTCCCCTCCCAGAGATTCAGCTCGTTGGATCTACAGCACGCCACCAGTCTTCCCAATGAACATTAATCTTACCCAGCTATCAAAGCAATCTGTAACGAGCAACAAGGTGCGCTACGAGTACAGCCTAAGGGCCAGTGATCGCGTCATGATGTACATAGATCCCCTAGCCAACGTCAAGGTCACAGACTGGTCCTTCGACCACACACCGCTGGACGAGAATCACATTCCGCCCTATCTGATCTATGCCATATACTCGCAAACCGAGGAGCCCCTCAACTTTTGGGTGGAGCTCGAGCACGAGGAGGGCAACACGGAGGGACCCTACATGAAGCTGGTGGTCACCGAGCACTTCCAGTACCATCCGGAGCACTACACCGAGGACTATAAGGAGTTCCTGGCCACCTTCCCCGACTGGACCTACACCACCGACTGGTTCTCGGCCCTCGAGAGCTGGATCGTATAGGCAGCGATGAGAATATAGACTCCAAAGTTGGCGTATCTTAATAAATAGTTTATAGTATATTTTAATAAAATTACAAAGTAGTAACTACAGTGTTCTAATCGTAAATACAAGTACAAGTTAGGGCGTGCCATCGCTATCGACACTTTGTTCGTTGGATAAGGGTTACTGGTACATAAACTGTCATAATCAGTAGTACCAATATTAAAATTATCTGAGGTGTCATGGCAAAAATGGGATTGAGTTGAGTTCGTAGAGAGACTTTTGGCGTATGTTTATAGTTGCCAACTGTTGTAGGAACCAAGCCAGGAGCTAACATGCGCCCAAGGTGGAAACGTGGCCAGGAAGTCCCGGAAGTCCTGCGTTATGAACATGTCGTCGTGTATTCGGTGGCCCATAAGGGCGATTTTAAAAGTGCCCCCTGACCAATCGGGATCGTCGTGCTGTAAAGAAATATTAACTTGATGATTTTTCTGGGGTATTGTTGTGAAATTCTTACCTCGAATTCCAGTGAAAACTGCAGGGGCTTGGGATCTAGTGCATACGACCAGTACACATAGTACGGTGGCTTTACATTTGTATCCAACGGCTCTCTGATGAACGACCAATCCACCAATTTGCTATCGTTTAGGGGTAGTATGAATATGCTCGTATGACTGGGTCCAGAGATCTCAAGATCAAATTTGATATTCGTATCCGAACTACTCGTTTTATCCAAAATGGTCAGCGTGGGAATATACTCCATATTGGGCTCGGGGCCAGGTACAAAATAGCTATTGTCACTGCAGTGAAATTCGAAAACGTAAGTAAAGGTTAGTTCAATGAAGTTTCTCCAACTTACACTGCATTCAGCCAGCGGGAACTGTATATGGGAAAGCCGCACATAAGCTCTGAATCACAGTCCATTCGCTCCGCCTTGGTAAAGTTGGTGTTCTCAAAGAGAATATCATCCACGGTATGAGGACGTCGATCGACGGGAAGGACAAAGTATCCCGAATCCGTGTGGCTCACCGTGCTAGCGGCATCGCCATTGTGGAAGGTTCGAGCTGTGTGCTGTAAGAGGAAAATATTTTTTAAGATCTAGATTCTAGAAGATAAATCTATAAACTTAAAGGACTCACCACAGCGAAGAACCTTTGGGCAGCTGTCTTCTCGGCGTAAGGAAAGGCGATGGGTGTTGCGGCAAATATGATAAATACTATCGTGCAGACGCCAAACGTTGAGATAATGGTCTTCGACTTTCGGAACAGGCAGAGCAACGGCACCACGAAGGGTGCAAAAAGTAAGACCATCAGGGCCGTGAAGAATCCCATCAGAATCTCCGGATTGGTATTACACTCGCGTCCCTGCATGGGCACAAAAACCACATAGAAGGCATAGCAGCAGTACGTGTAGAACATGAAGGGCAGCACCTGGCAGATGCAGTGTGGAATAAGCCACAGGAAATCTAAAAAATAAAATAGATTTTATAATTCTTTAAAAGCACATATCTCTCAGTTAAGCTTACTGGTTTTATGGGCCTTGGTCACCAGGTTGATAAGCACGGATAGGGTGTAGAAGCCAATGCAGAGCATTATGATGAAGGCCGAACGAATACTGTAGCTCACCATTATGGCGGTGACAACGGTCAGGATCAGACAATGCGAATGCATCAGAAGCTGAATGCCATAGCCCAAGGGCAGGCCATGCTGAAAAGAAAGCAATTTGTATAGTCATTAAATAACAAGGACTATCCAAACCTACCTCTTTGGTGCGACTAAAATAAATAGCCGGCAGTATGCCCATGCCGAATATCATGGGGCAGAAGTACAGGCCAAAGAGCATCCAGTTCTGCGAGAACCAGGACATCGGGAGATTTACTGCGTCCAGGAACAGGGCTATCGACATGACCAGGCCAATGCCCAGGGCCACACCCGTCACCTGGAGAGCGGTCAGGATGCCAAACTTTGCCCAGATGCGACGGCGGAACATGCCCGTGCTACTGGACATCATCCAGATATAGAGGACAATGGTGATGCACACCAGGACACACACGGATATGTTGATAATCACACCTGTGCTCTCCGGATAATAGACGAAGAACCAGCCCATCATGTCGAAGAATATCATATGACCCTCAGCGTATTTCTATAGGTAGAACATCCCTGTTTATAATGTGCAAACTTATAACGCTTTTCAAAGAACCTACCGATGGATTTTCCAGCTCTTCCGCATTCGCCAGAGCCTTGACCAGAGCCAAGATATTTTCGCCAGTCAGTTGGTAAGTGCGTCGAGGGATGAGATTAAAGCGATCATATTTGGTATGGTACACATAGCCATTCAAAGTCTGCGCCATATCGAGACCTGACGGACCAGAGGTATTAGAGATTAGGTACTTCGTACTTCACTTTATATTACCGGGTATATGGCCGTAGTCGCGGAACACGCGATAATCGGTCTCTGATGGCACGAAGCCATTCTGGAACAATTCCTCTCCGATAGTGGAGGCAAACGGATGAACTATGTTCTTGCCGTAGTACTTTTAAGATAAAAGGAGGATGAATAATAATCCAAAATAAATGGAAACAGTTATAAGAGATATACATACCTTCATAAGCCAAGGGTTATCGGGTCCGGATTGAAATAGAATTTCCCGACCTCCGCTGCCAGCTGAGTCCAAGTTGATGACCGCTCTGAAGAATAACGTAGTTAAAAATTCTTTACAATTAAATAAATTTATAATTATGGACTATATACTAGAACTCCACTTACTTCACGTTTTGGGCCCAAGGATGCTGGGTGATGAAGGCGTGGCTGCCCTGCAGCGGATTCTCCTCGGCTCCGTTGAAGAGGAATACCACCGAGTAGGTCAAAGGAGTCTCGTACTTTGTGATGACCCGCAGAACTTCCAGCATAATGACACACATCATGCCGGCATCTCCGGCTCCCGAGCTTCCCGGAACGGAATCGAAGTGGGTATTGATCAGAAGAGCAGCCTCACTGGTGGCATTCCGGGGCGACAGCTTAACCACCACATTCTGAATGCTCTGATAGACATTGACCATGGACCACAGGAGGTAGTTTCCGGAGGCGACCTGAACATCCTTCTCGATGTCGTACAAGTCTAAGCGCGCCCCCTCGATGATGTCACCTATTTCGCTGAGCAGGAACTGAACGGCCACCTGTTCGTTGGCCGCACTGCCGACGACCTTGGGTCCGATCTTCGACAGCCTCAAGAGGGTGTTCTCCGCCCGCTCACCGATGAACTGGCCCGGCTGCTGGCGCTCATCCTCGATGGTTTTCAGCTGTGGCATACGATGGAAACTGGGTATCACCACCAGGTAGAAGAGCAGGAACCAACAGGACACAAACAGTGGAGCCCAATACCAGCCGATCTTGCTACGGTTGTAGATGATCTTCATGTTCTCGTACTTTGATTTCATTGTGGCCTGAAAAGAATTAACAGATATTCACATTATTGGTCACCAAAAAATTAAGGGGTATCAGTGTCAGTGCACCCCACTAATTAAGTTCAATTGTCGAATTCCGATTGTGACGCATTCCACTGATAAAGCTCTGCGGATATGTTTATGTATATACATATCCCGTCATCGCGGCTAATCGGCCCCCTTTTTGTGTCGAAAGGGGGTTAAGTTAAGTTAATGCAGCCACTTGAGCGTCGAGCATCGATTAAATAATTAGGGGTCGTGATAAGCGAGTGCGATCAACTTAAAGCTGTCACTGCCAACGGATTCCAGCCATTCAGTCAGTGTTCCATTGAAATCAATCAGGAAATATGTTGATAGCCATGAGCACAAACCTCGAAGCATGAATGAGGTTCTCAGCCCATTATCGAGCCAAGCAGTGATTATTCAAAGCATCTGCCAGAGATAATACTTATCGGGTCTAAGAAGTGTCAAGTGGGCAGGAAATGAAGTAGGCTACAAAAATCTTGAGTACCCAAAATGTGTACAAAAAAATACAATACGATTAGCTAGGAAAAATCTTCACATTTCTAGACAATAATTTCAAAAAATTCTAAACTAAATTGCGACCGGAAAACATCTGTTGACCATTTGGAGGAAAAAACGAAATAAAAGCTTGCCGTTTAAAAGAAAAGTATCGACAGAGGGAAATTAGCCAACGACATTGAAATAATGCAGCTCTAAAAAATAAACAATGGGCCCATATTTATATTCGACATTCGGGAATCTAACAAATTGAGCGAATAGAACATCGGCATTCGGAGCAAATCAGCATTGAACGAGACACATTTTGTAATTTCTTGAGCGGTATTTCATTCTTATTTATAGCCAACTGGGCTGAAATACATATATTATCGTTTAATGTTCACACATGTGATGCGGCTGAGTTTTGTGTGTGGGAAATATTTAATAACAAAATTCTATTTGTTTGCTTTTACCGCAGAGGAAATACACTATTGTTTTGTCGGTTGAATCAAAAATAAAGATTTCATGAATTATTAAATACGAAATGGTCTATTTATTTAAAAAAATGTAATTCATTATTAAGTCGTCAAATAGCACTTGATCGATAAATTTATGAGATCTACATTCATTCACTAAGATTTAGTTAATTAAATGTAGCTTATTCTAAATAATGGCGCACTGAGGATTACAAATGGGTGATCTCCATTTTAAGTAGCCCTCTAAACTGTTCAAATATTGTATTTTTCGAGATGAATGGCCACTAAAACAAAAACTGACGGCAAGTGTGTCCTAAAAACGAATAGGAGCACTGGGTGGGGGGCAGAAAAAGTACTGGCTACCGAGGCAATTAAGAGAAATGTTTTTAGTGTCTCTGTTTCCCGCGACTGAATGCAAAATACCATTTGGATTACAGTGCAACATCGACCCATTTTTCACTGACTTCTAGGTGACCCGCGCCGGCGGCAAGAAGAAGACCGTGAAGGCAACTTCTCGTCGATTAAAAGTGAGGCGGGTAAAAACAAATGGGATGTGCAAAAGTAATCTCCTCAGTCTTCACTCCTCTGAAGCGCCTTTCGATTGAACTAATCACTTTCCACAAAAACAAACAAACAGAGGGAACGCTCTGTGCGGCAACCACGCCTACTTAATATAAGAAAA